TTACTGGCTCCATCCCCGCCTCTTCGACTTGTCTGTTTCCTCTCCACCTATCCTCTCCTCTATCCATCTTCTATCCGCCTCCTCCTCTCTCCCTATTTATTTCAGAACCCCCTTCCCCGCCCCCATTTCTGATGAAGGGTCTAGGCCCGAAACGTCAGCCTTTCTGCTCCTATGATGCTGCTTGGCCTGCTGTGTTCATCCAGCTCTGCACCTTGTTGTCTCGAAATGACAATGTTGTTCTGTCTCCTTAATAGAACCTAATGCTTGCGCAAGAGCTGAAGGAGAATGTTTGAGGCAGTTTGGATATTGTGGCATCTGTCAGCTAGACCCAGACTATAGCAAATGACTACCATTTAATTTGCCTATCGTTATAGGTTTGAGAATGGACAAATATACCTGCTGCAGTGTTCCATTCACACCAGCTTCAGCAAGAACCAAAAAATACATGAGCCCTGCTTTGCTTTCTATCATGCAAATAATTGAGGTAATGCAGCAAAAGTTTTGAGGAGGAAATAAAAAACAACTAGCATGTTACCATTAAAAGAAATCCCAATATGCTTTCCAGAAGAACAATCAAACAAAAAGTTAAAGAAAGGGCTTTATACAGGAGGGCTGACCAAAAGCTTGGTCAAAGAAGTTTCAAGGAGTGTATTAAAACAGGAGAGATGGAGAGGCAAACGGATTTAGGGAAGAAACTTTCAAACATGGAACCGAGGTAGCTAAAGGCAACTCTACATGGGGCAAAAGAGGTAGGCATGGGAAATGCACAAGATGCCAAAATCAGTGAAATGGAAAATGCACTGGGGCTTTGGGACTGCAGCAGGTTATGAAAATTGGTATGGATAAGACCATGAAGAAAACTAAGCACAAAGAGAAGCATTTTAAATCAGAGAGGTTGGGAGACAGAAGCCAATGTTGGGGGACCAAGGATAATGGTAGAGTGGCACTAGCACAGAATAGAATACAAGTTTTGGATAAGCTGAAATTTACAGCAGATCGAAAACTAGTCAGGAGAATATTAGATTAACTGCCCCTGGAGGTGACAACAGCATGGATGAGGCTGTCAGCAGCATATGAGCCAAGGAGGGGAAGAGATGGGCAAGTAATTCAGGACTGAATAGGATGCCGAGGTTGCAGTCTAGGGCTGCAGCTGGAGAGAGGGGTCAGATGGATGTCTACAAAATTTGTGGTGGGACCAAACAGAATGGCTAAAATCTTTTCAGTGCTTACTGAGAGTAACGTGTCACTCAACAAAACCAATTTAAGATGCAAGAAGAGGCAGTGGATAGATTGAGAGATGTGGTGGGAAAGTAGAGCTGGGGTATCATCAGTGTACATGTAGAAGCTGACTTCATACCTGTAGTAATATTGTCAAGGGACAACATGCAGATGGGGAAGTTGGTACAAGTGGGGAGGGTGACTGCTTATAGTATCCTAAAATCTATAAACTCTACTGCGCGTGCCACAGGAAAGGAATATTTTAAAGGTGCAGTACGTTTTATAAAACGGCTGATAAAAGAAATTAATACCAGCACGAGTACAGCGTGCAAATATTTTTACCTTATCAGTCATGATATATTGCTGCAGTAAAGTTGCTGCATTACAGCGATGCGCGAACTGCTATTGCATTCATGCTGAATTGGAACGAGTAAGCATTAAAAAGCACAGTTCAGGTCCAGGACCACTTGTGACCAACATCACAGGAGATCTACTAATACTCTCAAAAAAAAAATCACACACGAGGATAATAAGTACAAGACACTTGAAGCAAGTCTTTATATAAATTTTTTATGTTTTTCCAATGTTATGTTGCCCTTTACTGCTTTTCCATATCTTGATTAAACTCCTTCAATTGGCAAGATCAGGACCACAGATTCATTATGTCATCCCACTACTCCTCTGCTCCTTAGGAGAACGTGTGATCTGGCTAATCATTGTTGGGGTTAATCCACTGGTGCTATCACAAGTTATTTGTTGTTCAAACTGAGATTTGAACCTGCGATGCAGAGGAGTATCTCCATTGCTTGGCCAACATTTAATCATGAGCTAACGCTTTGTAAGTGCACATGGGAACATTTCAAGAAAAGCACAGCAGTAGGCTAGATTCAAAAATAGTTTGACATTTTCAGGAGAAGTCTTCACATGGTGGCTGAAGAAAAAGTACATGTCAGAGTTTGCATTCACATATGGCATGGTTACATAGTGCTGGTAGACATGGCTGCAAACACACAAGGAGTAATGAGAATTTAGATGATTAGAGCAGTTGAATTTCACCATCAGTGGGTAGATCACTATGGTAAGATCACCTGCACTGAATGAGCCTTCAAGAACGGACTCTAAATTACTTAGTATAATCACTTTCAATAGGCCAAGCATCACATATTCATATAGAGATACAACCTAAACATGCTTCAGCCATGTGCTTGTAAAGAGATTTCACTGTGCTAGACAGGGAAGATTCACTTTCTCACCGCTAGTAGCAAAAGCTGTGTTAGGCTAATTGTGGGCGGAAACGTTTTGCTTTTCAGCGAGTAGAACCAAATTGCGGGCTCGGACCTCAAGAACTGCAAATACTTGTGGTTGTCTGGATAACAATCCAGAATGGCTGAGTGCAGGGCTTGAGCAGAATGAGCACTCTTCTATCTGCAGCACCTCTGGCATTAATCTGGCTTTGGAACGGTATGTTTATGGAGCTGCTGCATTCTATATGAAAAGCATTATTGCGCGGGTCCTTACGCATTTAGCCGCAAGGAGTCTACCTTTATATCTCTTACCATTCCTCCTTCTCTCACTGAGGGCTTAGTTAGCTTTTATTCCCAGGCACTGCTGCAGACTCTCTGTGCTGATCAGCTTTAATTCATTAATAAATACAGAAGTTACACTGCAGTGTAAAAGGAACGGTCACATTCAAATTACTTCCCCAAAGTCATTGTAATTGTAGATCACACCGATTCAAAATTACAGAGTGGAAATTATATTCCTTGTGTGACACAGTGCTTTCTAAAACAGGTTCTCTTAACCAGATGCATCGATTATATAACAATCTCTTACCTTGTGCTATTTTGCTGGGATGGTGGAATTACGCTGTAATATACTGGCACTCCTCCAGCAGGTAATGTTCCCTGGACAGACTGACTGGGTACCATAACAGGTTGCTGGTAGGTCTGCTGTACAACTACTTGAGAATCACTGGACATTGGCACCTGTAATAGTAACAAATCAACTGAGAGGGCGAAAATAAACTATTTCTGGGTCAACTATCCAAAAAATTAAAACAAGACTTTGAAGCTGCTTGCTTCTACCAATAAATAAGAAATAAATAACCAATTCCTCCAATCAGCTAGAATAAGAGCTAAAATAAAATAATAAAAAATTATGCGGGCACTCGAGATCTGAACAAAGAAGACAGAAAGTGCTGCAAATACTTAGCAGGTAAGGCAGCATCTGTGGAGAAAAATAATGGGGGGTTTTTATGGAGCTTACAAAGGTGGAAAGACTGGTGCTTGGAATAATTAATCTGGCAGGATGAGAAAGTTTGATTTCCCAATGATGGGTTGAGACACAGAAATAAAATCAGTAATGTATTTTTGTCAAGCAGTACCACCTGTAGCAGGTCCATACTTGTAATACATCTGCATATCATGAATATTCATCAACACAAAGTCATTTTTACTAAGGTCAGAGGTGAATGGGACTCCTGTGGTACACAATCAGTTCAAAATGGTAAACTGTCAGTTTTGTGCAGCTGTTTGCAAAGTCAGCAGTTTTTGGTGTTTTACTCTATGCGCAGGCGAACGGCAGCTTGCATGGAAGCTCTGGACCAGAAAGGACAAGTCAGTGGTAAGGAGTCGGGAAGCTGGAGCAATGAAGTAGGAAGGGCCTGGGGTAGCGAGGTCAGTTTGTCAAAGTAAGAAAACGAGGGACCAAATGGACAGTGGCAGTACTGCCCAACATGTGTCACATTCCTGGATGGCGAACTGTAACTGGAGAGGTGCCACAAGGTTCAGTTCTCAGGCCTCGACTATATACAATCTATCTAATATAAAAGAAGCTCTGCAAGCAAGGACAGAGTGTAACACAGCAAAGATAAAGAATTTACAGATGAATATTTATGCAGTGCAACATGTAATAAGAAAGGCAAATGGAATTCTGGCATTTATTGCAAAAAGACTGGATTATAAAAGTAAAGAAGTACTGTTACAGTGATATAAGGCATTGGTGAGACCACACCTGGAGAATTGTGTCCAGTTTTGGTCTCCTTACTTGAGGATGTAGTTGCACTGGAGGCAGTTAAGAGGAGGCTCGCCACATTGATTCCAGGGATGAAAGGGCTGTCGTATGAGGAGCAGTTGAATAGCTTGGGCTTCTACTTGGTGGAGTTCAGAAGAATGAGGGGGGATCTGACTGCGGTATATAAAATGCTAAAGGGGACTGTAAGGTGGACGTTGAACAGATGTTCCCTCTCGTGGGACAATCTCAAACAATAGTTCATAGATATAGAATAAGAGGAGGTCGGTTCAAAACTGAGATGTGGAGAAACTGCTTCTCTCAGAGGGTTGTGAAGCTGTGGAACTCACTGCCCTAAACTGCGGTGGAGCTGGAATCAATCAATAGATTCAAGAAATAGATAGATATGTTTCAGATGAAAAGTGGGACAAAGAGCTATGGGGAACAGGCAGCAGAGTGGAGTTGAGACCAGGATAAGATCAGCCATGATCTTGGTAAATGGCACAGCGGGCTCAGATGGCTGAATTGCTTCCTCCCTGTACCAATTCCTATGTACTTAAGCGTCCATCTCAGGGTGTTAACGAGCAGAGTCCCTACAGGGCCCTGAGTTCACCGGAAACACTTTGAAGATCCACTCAGGGATCTTTAACAGCATCTTTCATAATGCGTAAAACAGAGAGCCAACTGAGCCTGTAAGTTCAGTGCCATTCCGTAGAGCGGAGAGTGAATGCAAAAATAAAACATTGTTTCTTCCCCAAGAAAGAAATGTCTCTGGCTCTGCTGCAAACCATTAATGTGCATCAAGTGAGATAAGCCAGTTCTGTTCCTAAGCTAGCCAAAACAAATACTGATGATGCACAGAAATAAAGCGAAGCCAATATAACGAAATATCTACAAGTAAAATTTAAGTTTGAAACACATATTTTTCTTTTGAACTCTCAACAAGTCTAATGTTATTGAGAATGGAGTTGAAAAGGGAGGTTGTGGCGAGATGCAAAATCTCTCTATTTGACCAGGAGATTCTGTAACAGGCCACTCACAGCTATGGAAAGAGTTTGCAAATACTAAATTGAATGTGTTTTCCCATATACACCACTGGCATTTTGAATTTTAATTATCATTTTTTTGGAAAAAGCAAAGGAGAAAGTAGAAAGAGGGCAGAGGCTCCCTCTTTAATGGAGGACACTGGCGCCCCGATTAATCAATACAGGACACTGGCGCCCCGATTGATCAATACAGGACACTGGCGCCACGATTGATCAATACAGGA